AGCTAAGGAAAGCGCAATGAGAAGCGTGTTAATGGATAAACATTATCTCTTAGGGATGTGATTCGTAGGAGGACTCTACATTGAGGAATAAAGAGTCCTACTAGGATTGTGTCACATAGAATCTATAAAAGCCCATAGCAGGACCTATGTACAGGTATCACAATTTTGACTCTTAAATACACAGATCTTTTGTCTATTGTTTATTTGTTGACTTAGGCATTGGAGAGGTTTCCGGCACACACCCGCCGGCTAACTCACGTTTGCATTTTCAGGAAGTAAAGCGACGACGTTTGGAGGAGTACAAACTTGATCAAAAAGATTATACGAGAAGATTATTTCGTACTCGTACACTAATATTATTATATTTTAGTCACTCTAACGGATTAGCTATTACAATAGTTATTTTAACTAAAATTTTTAAGACTATCTATATTTGAAGAGTTTTAGAAGGCTCTTTAAACAGCTTAAGTGTATAAATAAGTAAAATAAAGAGTAGTATTGAAGTATATAGATTTAAAAAAAAAAAGAATTAAACAAAATAAAAAAGAATTACTTTTTTTGTATTTTAACTAATAAAAAAATGAATTTGTTTTAGTTTTTTTATTTTTTATTTTTTTGTTAATTATGTCATTATTGAATTCGACAATAGCCCTGTTTGGTAGAGCTGTGGGAAAGTGCTTATAGCTTATGCCTGAACAGCTTATAGCTTATAACTTTCAGCTTAAGCTGATTTCCAGCTTATTCTTAAAGCATCTCCTGCCCCACTCAAAGAATAAGCTGATTTCTGACTTCCACAAAGCTATAAGCTATAAGCTATAAGCTAAACCAAACACATCAAAATAACTTAAATTAAGCTGAAAGCTAAAATAAGTTGTAAATAATTTCTGCCAAACAGACACAACGTATCTCATGCACTGGCTTCGATTTTTCTCCGTGTGTGGTCCCTGTCTCCTCTCTTTCTACTTTTCTCCAATATTATCTTCCTTTTATAAGAGCATTTCTACACACACATTCTAGTATGTTAAAATTTTCAATTTGACATTAATGTTCTTCACCTAATATGTAAAATTTCTTATTATATTACTTTTAAAATTTAGGTTTAGTTTGGGTTAACCTAACGAAGTTAAAAAGTCAAAAAATTATTAAAAGGTTAAAAAATTTATACTATTGAAGAGTAGTTTGTGGGGGAACCCTAGAGAGAAAAATTATTATTTTACTTTTTGAATTCAATTATTCAAAAGTCAAAACGTCAAAAGAGTAGAATGGTCCTTTTGATTTTACTATAATATTTTATTACACATCTTTTCGTGAAAAATTAAAAATTTATCCTAAACATACATTTTTTTCTCTATTTTTTTAATCAAAAAAATTAAAAAAAATATTTATATAGCACATTTCAAACTACCACTTAAACTCTTTTATTTTATTAATTAGAATAAATTTGTCTATAAAAGAGTTTGATGCCATTTAAATAGATGGTAAAAATAAATAAATAAAAATAAAAGGTATGACATGACGTGGGACTGATGACAACTACAATTTGTACCAAATTATACTGTTTGCAACTTTTACTTGAAAAAAAAAAAAAAAAAAAAAAAATTTTTTAGTACTTCTCTCCAATATTATCTTCCTTTTATAAGAGCATTTCTACACACACATTCTAGTATGTTAAATTTTTCAATTTGACATTAATGTTCTTCACCTATGTAAAATTTCTTATTATATTACTTTTAAAATTTAGGTTTAGTCTGGGATAACTTAACGAAGTTAAAAAGTCAAAAAATTATTAAAAGGTTAAAAAATTTATACTATTGAAGAGTAGTTTGTGGGGGGAACCCTAGAGAGAAAAATTATTATTTTACATTTTGAATTCAATTATTCAAAAGTCAAAACGTCAAAAGAGTAGAATGGTTCTTTTGATTTTACTATAATATTTTATTACACATCTTTTCGTGAAAAATTAAAAATTTATCCTAAACATACATTTTTTTCTCTACTTTTTTAATCAAAAAAATTAAAAAAAATATTTATATAGCACATTTCAAACAATCACTTAAACTCTTTTATTTTATTAATTAGAATAAATTTGTCTTTAAAAGAGTTTGATGCCATTTAAATAGATGGTAAAAATAAATAAATAAAAATAAAAGGTATGACATGACGTGGGACTGATGACAACTACAATTTGTACCAAATTATACTGTTTGCAACTTTTACTTGAAAAAAAAAAAAAAAAAAAAAATGTCTTCAGGTTAAACTTAGCAGGAATGAGTGTTGTTAAAAGCGATGTCGACTTTTGGCACATTAGGTGCTATCATGCTTGATGCTAAAGATTCATTCAAGACGTGGATTGCCTTTCTATTTTTAATTTATTTAGATTATTTTGAAAAGCAAGTTAAATGATTTTTTTTTATTTGTTTTTTTTTAAAAAAAATATGTAAACAGTAAAGAGATGATGTGATCAAAAACAAATTAAAATATAATTTTTAACTTTTAGCCAAGCCAACCTGGGGCTAAAAAACCTTATTTGTAATAGATTTTTTGATTTTTTTGATTTTTGTAAGAGAAAAAATAAAATAATTATAATTTAGATGTGATATTTTGTGTTACTAACTTTTTAACATATTTTGTCTTTTTGTGATTATTTTAGCACTGTAGTGTTATGCCAAACGAATACAAAATATAGCTGTTGAAGTACAATATCAATTTTGAAGTATCGGGTGGAGGTGCTCTAAGATCTCAAGTTTGGCTAAAAGTAGCAAAGGGGCGAGTATGGACAGATTTGGGCAGGTCAAAATGGGTTATGCATTTAAAGCAACCTAATCCAAACCCGTCTTAATAAATGGGCTTAAACAGGTTAGGATGAATTAGATACGAGTTGGATTAAGGAAGATGTTATAGATCCTAAATTTTCTACTAAATAAATGACTAAATGTCTTACATGGGTGTGGGTAGACTCCAAATTTGGTAATTTATTTAGTAGGAAATTTGGTATCTCCAACATTACCCGTTGGATAAAAAAATGCTATAGACCCCAAATTTTCTACCAAATAAATGACCAAATGTCTCATATGAGTGTGGACCCTACACTTTTGCAAACCCCACATCCATGTGAGACATTTGGTCATTTATTTGGTAGGAAATTTGATCATAATCAACCCATTTACTTCATCTCTTTTTACTATATTACTATTTTTATTTTTTATTTTATATTTTTCTTAAAATATTTTTATTTTTATTTTATATTTTTATAACATTAATGGCATAGAATAACAAAAGTAGCAGTAGTGGTGGTAGTAGTGATGGAGTGGCAGTGATGCGGCTGGTATAGTGTGTTGGCGGTGGTAATGGGGGTTGTGGAGGATGAGGTAATAGTTGTGGTGGTGGAGTGGTGGTAGTGGTGGTAGAGGAGGAGAACGAAGAGGAGGAGGCGGTGGTGGTGGTGGTGGTGGTAAAGTGACGATGGTAGAAGAAGTGGTAGTGGATTAGTGGTAGAAGTGGTGCCTATTTAGACAGACTTAAATGGATACCCATATCCAACGCAAATAAATCTAATTTTAATGGACAGCACAACAACCCAGCTGTGCGGTCCCGTGGAGGCATTTTTTTACTGTATTTTGATGATCTGAACCATTGATATTGTAAGGTTTATCGAGTGTATTATTCATATAAAAAATCAAGTTAATCGAACATCTGTAAACCCATAATAAAGTCTTAATTGTTTTAAAAATAATAATTAAAATCATTTTAACTGTTTATTTTTTGAAAAATAAATGTGCTCTTATTATGAGGTTACAATTGCTCAATTTACTTGATTTTTTGTATTAATGATCTATTCGATGAACCTTACAATATGAATGGTTCGAATCATCAAAAAAGATTCAAGACACGTCCCTAATGGACCTCACAATAGCCTGTTCTGTCTTAAGGCACAGCAGGAACCCTAACTCCAATTTTAATTGGGTTGATAATGAACAATTCATTTAAGTACATTTATTGATTTTAAATGCATATAATTAGACGGGTTCACTAGTTTAGGTTGAGTTTGGCACCTCTATTTGGCTAAATGGTCTTGTAGCTACCTGTTAACGTATAGCCTCCGTGGTGGATAGATGAGTTGGGTTGAGTTTGGGATTATTTTAGTTACAAAGTTTTTTAGAATAATAAGTCAAAACAAAAAGTCAAAATAAAATTTCCAAACGAGACTTTTGATCACATGCTAAAATAACCAAAAAATTATAAAATCAAAAATCCAACCCATTCCCTAAACCAACCCATAGTGAAAGTAAAGTCAAGAATTCCACCTGATAGAACAACGACAACTTTCAAGGTGTTATTTGAAATGTTTTAAATAAGTGTATTTTTTAAGTTTTTATAAAATATGAATTGAATTTAAAGTGATATGATAAAAAAGTAATGTAACTTAAATAAAATAATAATTTTTTAATTTTTTTAAGACCTAACCTTAATCGTAATATAATTTTGCTAATAAAATAACATCTTCCATCTTGAAGTATGTACATATTGGAGTTTTCTTAAGTGTCCAAGTGCACACCATGTGCCACTTACACAAAAAGTGTAAGTGTAAGGTGTAAGTATAAGTATAAGGTGTAAGTGTAAGTGTAAGGTGTAAGTGGGTTGCATATGGTGTGCAACCTCAAAAAAGGTGTAAGTGTAAGGTTTAATTTTTTACAAAAGGTCTAAGTGTAAGGTGTAAGTTTATGGCATGTTTGATTGGAAGGATTAAAGCATAGGATTGAGATTATTAATCCGTGGGCCCAATCATCCTATGTTTGTTTTGACATTTTAGTTTAGGATTATTAATCCAATGGATAATTAATCCAACAAATTTGTAGGATTATTAGTAATGGGGTAGGGGTGGGATAACTAATACCACACTAATTTATTGGGCCCACGGATTAATAATCCCAATCCCATACTTCAATCCACCCAATCAAACATGCCTATAAGGTGTAAGGTGTAAGTTGCACACCATAACCAAACCTGTGCATATTCTCTTTATAACATTTTCTCACTCCGAGAGATATACAATTTCACAAGCGCACACAACCAGAACGAGATCGGATTGAAAATCTTCAAAAACCCTGAAAGATTGTGAATTAAAAATGAAAGGTGGGGTTGTTATTGAAGAAGGATTCTTATACGGAGAAGAAACCCATCTCACCGTTTTCAAAACCTCTCTTTCCTTCTCTAGCGATGGCTTCGCTGTCTATGATTGCAAAGGAGACCTCGTCTTCCGAGTCGACTCGTATAGACCCGACACTCACGACAGGGCTGAACTCGTCCTCATGGACGCTTCTGGCAGGTGCCTCCTCACTGTCCGCCGAAAGGTAACCTAGCTCACTGTGACTCGCTGAGTCAATTTATACTAACAATGAATCTATAAACCAAACAGTAAATTAAATCTGAGGACATGGGTTGTGTCAGTTTCTGGTCTTAACAAATGGGTATTGATTAGTTTATTACACTTTGGGTGGCACATGAAATTTTTTATAGATTATATTTTGTATCAATTTTGTTTAATATTGGATTGCTTATTTCACTAATTTCAATTTCTCAAAAATTACATTTTTTTATACCTTATGGATTAAATTTTGTTGTGATTTTTGTTTTATATTTGATTGATTATAAACTACACCCCCTTTTTGATAATATTTTTTTGTTTGATTATATGTTTTATTTATTTATTTATTGAATAATGCTTGTTTGAGCATATTTTCCTACTAAAATTCTAGTAAAAGAAAAAACATAAACTGTATAGAGATGTATTACAATTGAAATACCAATTATAAATTTAAAATAAAAAATAGTCCAATGTTTTTTTATCAAATTTAAATATACAAATTATACTGTTAATGTAGTTTAGAAATAAAAGTTTTGCAATACTTTTACTTTATAGTAAAAGTGCATCAAATCAAAAAATCTCCTGACAAATATTTTTTCTGCAGTAGAATTCAAGCCAATCTATAGATTTGATTCTTTAGACCATACTATGTGCCCTTTTTCCCTTCCCTCTTAAACTCTACCTCTATCTCTTAACCCAATGCAGTATAGATCGCATGTTTGATCTTTGGATTCTGAATCTCTCAACTCAATGCAGTGACATAATACATGTATGATCTTTGGATTCTGATATATGCCCATGACTCCTGTTCTTTATAATGTCTATATACACGTGTATGTATAGAATATATCACCACATATATTTGAATTGAGAGAGAGAGAGAGAGAGAGAGAGAGAGAGAGAGAGGGAGTTACAAAGATGAGGTAGTTGCATAGACAAAGAGAATTGCAACATCAGAAGTTTAGTAATCTTAGGGTGTGGTTCTATAACTGTTTGTTTACATTGGAGAGGAAGTTGAGTAATTTTAAGGTGTGGTTTTGTAACAGTTTGCAAGACATCAGGACACCAAATTTGGTGTTTGCTTTATTAAGTAGTATAGTTTTGTAAAGATGCGTTTTCACAAGAGAGTAACTGGCATTAAGTAAAAAATTTGTAAGGCTTCAAGACATTAAATTTGGTGTTTGCTTTATTAAGTAGTATAGATTATTGTTAAATTGGTTACTTAATTTTGAATTATCGATCGAATTTACTTAGTCTCTAAAGTAAATAAGTTAAAGTCTACTTATTTGTATCTAAACTATGGATTAAATCTATTAAATTCATATAGTATTTAATTCAAATATATTTAGTCCTTGAAGCAATTATAAAAATAAAATATAAACTCATAAGTATTATAAATTAATAAAAGATTTATTTAGTTAAATTTTTATTTCGAAAAAAACCTTAAATTTTTACTTTGGATTGGCAAAGTGGGTGTCACTTCTTATGGTGAATTTTTTTTATAAGGGTAAATGTAATTTATTTATATTATTTTCTTACTTATTTTCTACAATGACTATTTATTTACCTTTATCTAGTATTATATGTTAGATTTTGCTTATAATTTTTTACTAATTGTTTTAAGTTTTTCGTTGAATTCTTTTTTATAATTTAATTAATGAATTATTTTGTTCTATTGTAATTTGTAGCAGAATGTTACTATTTAAATTCTCTAATTTTACTTATTTAGTATGTCTAAAACTCGTATAATAATATTGGTAAGATTGAGAAGCCAAACTTTGATACTAATTTAACCATGTAGTGAAATAAAACACCTTTTAAAAACTAAATAAAAATTTAAGATTTTTCTGAAATAAAATATAAACTTTATAGGTTCTTTTACTAATTTATAATAATTATGAGTATATATTTTATTTTTTAAATCTTTTCAGAAACTAAATAAATTTAAATTAAATATTTTAGGAACTTAATAGATTCAATCGATAGTTTAAAAATTAAATAAATTTTATTTTATGCACTTTAAGGACTAAGTAAAGTTAATTGATAGTTGAAAAACTAACTAGATATTTTAACAATAGTTTAGATATAGAAAATATAATAAATCAGATATTGATTTGCTTTTAGGTCATGTTTGATTTACAAGACTAATAGTGAAGTATTAATAATTTTATTAAATTAGTGTTGTATTCATTATCCAATTTGATTAATATCCATTGGATTAATAATCCCACCCCTACCCCATTACTAATAATCCTACAAATTTGTTGAATTAATTATCCATTGGATTAATAATCCTAAACCAAAATATTAAAACAAACATAGAATAATTGACTCCACGAATTAATAATTTCAATCCCATTATCTAATTCACCTAATCAAACATGCCATTAATGTACTGTACCGTTTGCAACTATCGTGACTCCTGAGTTGCTCACCTCGCCGATCATCTTTATTTGAAATTTTGAATACTAAAATTGGACAAATGCAATGAAGAAAATCAATTTAAAAAACCGTGTTCGATTGATTTGTATTGGATTTGAATAGGAAAATGATTGGTGGCCCTAAAAAAGTTGTCCCTAATATCCCTAATTTCTAATTTTGGAAACTGTTTTCTTTTTTTCTTTCTTTTTTCCTTTTTTTTTTTTACCTGAAATGGAATTTCGGAGCATTCGGGCCACCCTATTTCGGGCCCTCAATCACTGCCGTTTACGGTGATATCTACAATTCTCGAACGTACTTGAAAATGCTATATACATCAATTAATATATCAACTAGTATATTAATTGATGATGTGACATAATTTAAGAGATTTTTGGTATTTGTAATGTAATTAATGAGTGAAATCAACAATAATATCATAAATAGTATTGGTACACTAGTTAGTACATTAATTAGTGCAGCACCACCGAACGAACTTCGAGTTATTCCAAGTTGATGGTTAAGATTTTTCAAAATCGGACAAATATATTTCATTTGAATGTAATGTTAGGAGTGAATTTGATATATTTTTATAATTAAAAAATCAAAATAAACAGATTCATGTATAATGTTTAAAGAATAATGCTTGAGAGCTCGAAAATGAGCCCCCTAATCCCCCTAATGCCCAAAACTACGTCGTTTTGGGCATTAGGCTTTTTTTTTTTTCTGCCATTTTCGTTCGACCTGCAGGGGAGGGAAGGAGAGGGAGAGGGAGAGGGAGAGGGAGAGAAAGAGGTTTATGCACTTTAAGGACTAAGTAAAGTTAATTGATAGTTGAAAAACTAACTAGATATTTTAACAGTAGTTTAGATATAGAAAATATAATAAATCAGCTATTGATTTGTTTTTAGATCATGTTTGATTCACAAAACTAATAGTGAAGTATTAATAATTCTATTAAATTTGTGTTGTATTCATTATCCAATTTAATTAATATCCATTAGATTAATAATCTCACCCCTACTCCATTTCTAATAATCCTACAAATTTGTTGGATTAATTATCTATTGGATTAATAATTCTAAACCAAAATGTTAAAACAAATATAGGATAATTGGCTCTACAAATTAATAATCTCAATCCCATTCTCTAATTCATCTAATCAAACATGCCATTAATGTACTGTACCGTTTGCAACTATCGTGACTCCTGAGTTGCTCACCTCGCCTATCATCTTTATTTGAAATTTTGAATACTAAAATTGGACAAATGCAATGAAGAAAATCAATTTAAAAAACCGTGTTCGATTGATTTGTGTTGGATTTGAATTTACGGTGATATCTACAATTCTCGAACGTACTTGAATAATACTATATATATCAATTAATATATCAACTAGTATATTAATTGATGATATGACATAATTTAAGAAGTTTTTGGTATTTGTAATGTAATTAATGAGTGAAATCAGCAATAATATCATAAATAGTATTGGTACACTAGTTAGTACATTATTTGGTGCATGTAGCACCACTTAACGAACTTTGAGTTATTCCAAGTTGATGGTTAAGATTTTTCAAAATCGGACAAATATATTTCATTTGAATGTAATGTTAGGAGTGAATTTGATATATTTTTATAATTAAAAAATCAAAATAAACAGATTCATGTATAACGTTTAAAATGATATTTGTTAGGAAAATATTATGGTATACACTTATATGTAAGTTATGTCATTTGGTAGGTTGATTATTAAAAATGGTATATCTCAATATCATAGGAGTCCTAAAAATAAATAAATAAATAAAATAAAATAAAATTGAGTCATAACTAAGGATTCGTTTGGGATGTGGGTTGACTTTTTAATTTTTTAACTTTGTAACTATTTTAACCTGGTGTTAAAAGTCTCGTTTGATATAGGTTTTTTGACTTGTTTGACTTTTATGAGAGAAAAAATGAAATGATTATAGTTTGGATGTGATGTTTTATCTTATTAGACTAAAATATCCATTTTATCTCTTTGTAGCTAAAATAATCAAAAAATCAAAAAGTCTGGCATGCTAAATGAAGGCTAAATGTTACGAGAGAAGTATAACAAAACAACTCTTGAATTATTTTGGAAAGTTGGTCAAAAATTTGCTTTTTGAATTTTTTGAATCTTTTTTGAAAAAAAGTATAAAAAAGTAGAGAGGTGATGTAATTCAAAATATGTTAAAAGTTAAATACTTTTAACCAAGTTCCCAAATTGGCCTATAATAAAATTTTATCATAGTCGATATCACAATATATCATAATTAATAATATAATAATTATTGACTCAAATTATAATTAAATATGCATATGATATGTCGAATGTGTACATAATATTTTCCTATTTGCTAATAGTTTGAGGGAATTTTGTAAATAACCCTTTTATTAGTTTACCTTACAAAAAAAGAAAGAAAAAGAAAGCAGCTGATAACTGTAACCATTCCAGTGAATGGTCGTGACTCGTCATTTAGAATGATCCGAGTCAACTCGGCGAGTTAGTCAATATATGTTGATAATGGTGTTTTTATCTTTTGTTCTGAAGCAGAGGCTGAGTCTGCATCACCGGTGGGAAGGTTTCGTGGGAGAGAGAACGGACGGTCAGAAACCGATCTTCAGCGTGAAGAGGTCGTCAATAATCGGACATTCGAGTTTGACAGTGGAGGTGAACGATAATCCGGAGGAGTACCAGATCGAAGGGTCGTTCGCGCAGCGATGTTGCACGATCTTGGATGGAAAGCAGCAATCGGTGGCTGAGATTAAACGGAAAGTGGATGCTTCGACGAATGTGGTGCTTGGGAAAGACGTAATCTCTCTTTTGGTCAAGCCTGGCTTTGATGGTTGCTTTGCCGTGGCATTAGTGTTGGTTATTGATCAGATCAACGGTGATGATTTTGATGAGGGTGCTAGGGTTGAGGTGGTGGACCCACTTCTTGTGAATTCAAATATATCTTCCAGTGAGTAAGTAAATGAAAAAATTTGGCAAACCTACTGGTTCAAATCAATCCAATAAGTCTGGTTTCATTTTTTTAATTCGTGATTTGGTACTGATTTACAAAATTGAGAAATCAATATTTGTGAATCGATTTCGAATTTAGGTTTGTAGTTCTGAATTTAAACTGAGCTGAACTATATAATTTAAACTATATACATTTATTTGTTAGATATTATTATTTGTTTAAGTTAATGGTAGAATGATATGCATGCTTATGTTTTGAAAATTTATGTTTCGAAAAAGAATAATGTTATATGCATTAATTAGTGTATCAATTAATAATGTGATATAATTTAAAAGGTTTTTAGTATTTGTAATTTGAATAATGTTTGAAGGCCCGAAATTAGTGGCTCGAATTTGGCTCAAAACCCAAAACGACGTCGTTTTGGGTTTTGATTTTTTTTTTTCTTTCTTCCTCTTCTTTCTTTTCTACTTCTTCTTCGTTTTGAACCTGAGAAGCAGAGGCGCGAGAGAGAAATAGAGGGGAGAGATGGAAGCTCGTCGTCGTTCGTCGGCCAATCGTCGCAGCTCGTCGGTCGTCGGCCGATCGTCGCCTCTGCCTCTGCCTCTGCCTCTGCCTCCGCCCGCCTCCACCTTCGCCTCCGCCTCCAGCCCTATTTTTAGGGCCCCCTCCAGTTCTGCTTCTCCTTCTCTTCTTCTTCTTCTTCTTCCTCCTCCTTCTCAAATTCGAGCCAAATTTGGCTCGAAACCCTTTCGGGCTCTGTAGCAGAGCTGTTGTAATTTTTATAATAGTGGGGTCAATAATAATGTCATAACTAATATTGGTATACTAGTTAGTACACTAATTGGTGCATTTACCATCACCTTTCGAAAAATCATGGCAGATTAATGTTATGTTTTTGCTCAACTAGTGAATGTTATGAGAGTAATTTGGTTGATAGCGATGCTCTTGATTTGGATTGGTTCCGTAATTTTAATGGTTTCATTTAATTCCAATTTTTATAGAAGTGTAGGCAATGCATTGATCCTAATTTCATTCCAAATCAGGCCATTATTACCCCTATATCTTCTTAGATTTATTTATTTATTTATTATTTTTTTTAAAGAGATGATTGGTGAAAAGCTCATCTTAAAGAGTATATAAAGCATTAGATCCAAAAGAAAATCTTATTTGGTGATAAGAACAGGCTGAAAAAGTCGCTGAAAAATTTTGCCGACTTCAAAAAAGTCACTGGAAAATTGTCCAAAGAATTTGCTTGCGATGCTGATTGGTGGCAGTAGATGGTGGTGGTGATATAGAGAAATGTGAGATATTTAACAAATAGGGTATTGAATGTAATATATGTCACATTTCAACATATAATTAATTTGATGAATTTTAACAGATAGACAAATATGGTTGGTGAATTATAGTAGATTGACAAATAGGGCGACTTTAAGAAAATGGGTTAATTTGACTTCAACAAATAGTTGTCATTTTAGACAAATTGTATCATTTTAATCTAAAGAGATTAGAGCTTGTGCCTAATTACCCAAAAAATTAAAAAATGGACCTATAGCCTGAATTTATTTTGATGGTTTGAGTTAAATAAATGAGGGGTTTGTCTTTGTCATTTGCTCAGTTATTAGATCTTTTGTTAATATATTTTATTTAGGGGAAATATAAAAATTAAAAAAAAAATAAAAAAGTAGGAAAGTAAGAAAAATAATTATAAACTCATGAAAATAGAACAGTTATTTGCACAATTTAATGCCTAAATTATTTATATTTTTATGAGTTTAATTTTATTTTTTATATTTACCGCTTTAATTTTTGTCTTATATCATTCCAAAAATAGTATGAGCCACAAAATATTTGTATGAAAAACTGTCTCAAAGTTGTGACTGGACAATTGGCTGGATATGATCGAAAAAATTTAGGATTGGTTGATTAGTCAACCAATAAATAATTTGAGATATTTTTCGTTGAACCTTCCTTTTTTCTTTTTCTTTTTTTTCTTTTCTTTTTTCTTTTATTTTTTCGCCACAGTATCACCATTGTTAATATAATTTAGGTAATTAACCACCAACTTTGACGTGCATGGGATTTTGTAAAGCATGAGAATGTCACTGTCAAGGTTGGTTTGATGCATTTTCAATTTGGGTAAATTACAAACATATCTCTGAAGTTTACTTAAATTATAAACTATTCTTATAGATTTAGAAATTACATTATATCCCTTAAAATTTTTAATTTCATAACAAATATGTCATTTTATTAATAAATCATCAAGTTAATTAACAATTTTTAATAATGTTAAAATTTTATTTCAATTAATAATTCAGATAATTTTATTATTGTATAGGTGAACAGTTAGAAATTTCACTTTTTAAATAATTCTATTAAATAAAAAATAATGACAGGGAAGTATTTATAATTTTTCAAATCACAAAGGACAATTCATATTTTAAGCAAATTTCAGAGAGTGTATTTGTAATTTACCTTTTCAATTTCAAACCAATTCACTTTTAAAATTAAAGGAGAGATTAATTACACAAAATTAAATTATAAGGGCAACATTTTCCTGCCAATTGGAAGTGTTGTTGGGTTTTGTGGGCTGTCATGGAATTCGTTTTCATGATTTAAACCGTTTATATTAAAAGGCTTATTGAAAATATTATTCTTACAAAAAAATGATTTATTTTGATTATTGTAGATGTGTTATTATATTATATTTGTCTTTAAAATAATAAATTATTTATAATTATAATTGTAATTATTTATTTTAAATGACAAATGTGTTCTAAATTTATGATAATAGTTGTCCAATTAATTTGATTTTTTATAATCTCAACAGATCATTTGATATGAACAATTCAAATTATCAAGATAACTCCCGTAAGCCTAACAACACCTCTGGTTGATTTTGCATAATGGAGCTTGGAGGGAAGCGTTGCCCAAATTATAGAACAAAGGTGATGTTTTTTTTTTTTTTTTTTTGATCGGCAAAATAAATCTTTATTGATAAGAAACATACAAAGTATGATAGAATACATCAATAAAGAGGAGCTTGGAGCTAGTTTAAGCTCCAAGCTGGCAAGAAACCAACACACAAAGCAAAACAAAACAACAACATGAATGTTCCACCTATCAACAGTTGAGCCCAACTACAGTGAACAAAACAAACTAGTTGCAGCTAATGAGTTGATTACCACCACTTTGAGATGCTGAGCATATGCATAGCAACCATTGCAGTGAACAAAACAATCTAGTTGCAGCCATTGCAAAGAACAAAACAGCCAGATTAATGCTAAACAAAACAATCTTCTAAACAGCAAGCAGATTAATGCTGAGCAAACCTTTAACAACTAGATTGTACCCAAATAATCAAAATGAGCTGATTATCCCCAGATTGTAATGCTGAGCATAAACATAACAACCAATAACAATAAAAAAGAGTTGATTACCACCACTCTGCATCCCAGCTTGAGCTTTAACAGACTTTCCCAAAGCATGGATCTGAACAACTACCTCTTCAAGAAGCCACAGCCACCATCCAATTGGGGAAAACTCTTGCATCAACTTCAATGGACAAGAAGATGTTGCCTTAAACAAGATCATGGACCTAGAGCTAAAGGACAAAGAGAGATTTTGAGTGTCTCATTTGTTTATCTATGAAGCTATTATCTTGGAATTTTAGGGGGCTAGGAAAGCTTGAGAAGAAAGGTAGAATCAAGAAACTATTAAAGGCTAGACACATGGATATTGTTTTTTCAAGAAACTAAAGAAGCCGTGGTCTCTGTTAATGTTGTTAGAGGGCTTTGGGGGCGTAGGAAAATGGAGCATATGTCCTAGATACAGAAGGTACTGCTGGTGGGCTCCTTGCATTTGGGACCTTCAGGTTTATTATATAATTCTTATGATTGTGTTTTTGGTCAATATTTATGCTCCCAATGTGTTAGCATC